AAGAAGCTAATCATTTACAAAAATCACAAATATAATGCTCCGTTTCAACATCAGCACAATCTTTATGTGCCCACATAGCGCACATTAGGCATTGCACCCACACCTCCCCATGACTATCATCTGCAAACAACCCATCACAAAACAGACAAGCAGTGTCATCCCCTCGTCAGGCAAGTCAAAAGGAGAGTCAACAGATGAGGAGATATCAATAGAGTCATCATCACTTCAATATTGGCACAAGAACAGTGTGCCCATTTATCACAACTGCTACATTTATTGTTATTTTTCAAATAAATAAACATAAAAGTTTGAACTTACTTGTAGACTATTTACTTTACCAGACGATACTGTCACTTCGCGCATGCTCAGTTTCGCTATTTTGTAAGCAGACGATATTTTTTTTTCATGAAAAAAATGTTTATTTCGATTGTTATCGTACATTTTATTTCTTGTTAAGATAGTATTTAAATTTTAAAAATGTTTTCATAAATAAAATAAAACGTAAAAACATTATTTTATGGTTTGAATTTGTTGGTAATACTGAACACCAGGGGAGTTGGGTACCATATTAAAAGCGCCAATGGGGTCCATATTTCACGCATCTCAACTTAATTCCTGTTGGCACCAAACTTTAAAAATGTGAAAATCACACAGATTAATATGTACCCCTAAGTCTCTGGAATGGAATACATGCACCAGTGAACCTACAACTACACGATTTATATTTTAAAAATAATTAAATTCACTGAGCATTCAAAACTTGCGAATTTTGAAAAAAACAAATTTGCTGATTAAATACGGACAACCATTTAACTGAAGTAAAACGGGTTTTCCCCTTGCTATGGATGTCTGCCTAGTTCAGTTCAGTCACATTCCGCTACAGTTCGCCTTTATTATCAGTTCAAAATGGGGTGGTTCCATAACACCCGCAGTGTTCCATAATACCACCACCTCTATATCCTACAGGAAATAATCAATGACAATATTTGCCTGGTTTCTATGACTGTTTTTTTGGTGACAAATTTTCAGTTGGATGTCCAACAGGTACATTTTTGGGAAAAGTCTTTGCAGAAGCTGTTGCAGTTTGGTGGAAGTTGGTGGTTACATGTTTTCAGCAGTCTGTGCATATTCTTGATTTTTGTGAATGATCCCAAAACTCCTCTAACAGTGCCAACTACAGGAGGGGAACAATACACTGCTTGCAAAGAGCCCCTTTCAACCACTTGGAATATACTAGCCACAGTACATATTGATCTAATGAAGCATGATTGAATTTTCATCGCAAATAGCTCTCATTAGTTTCAAAATCATAATTCCTTAGTGGAACCCAGGGATTTATTTTGTAACAATTCCTTCTTTGTCACTGATTGCTGGGTAGCTAGCACAACATAACGACCCATATCACTGTTGTGGTAGCCATTAGTGATGCGCCGGGTATCCATATCCATGGATATCTGAAGAGAAAAAAGAGATCCGTATTTGTATCCGTATCCATTACTTTTTAGTAGATCTTTAACGGATCTTTTATCTTAATGAATTTCATCACTTATATGAAATTTTAAAGATAGGTAGTAATAAAATACTAATAACTTCAATTCAAATCAGTTTTTATTTCTTAAAATCACATATATGCACATTCACGTTGCAAAAATTTTATCATGCAAAATTCATTTACTATCGTAAAATATTTCCATATTACACTACTAAACTTTTTAGTCGACATTGTTTTTATTTTAATTTAACTCAACACTCTCCAAAAATACAAATGTAATCTACGCTATTCCATGTCACACTAAACTATAAACAAAACATGTCCTGTTACTAACGCAAAGTGTCAACTATCGGTCCAAGGTCACATGCACTGGCACCGACTGAGTACGAAAGTTGAGATCCGTATCCGTGTCTGCAAATCTAAACACTAATGATCTGTATCTGTATCCGTATCCGTATCCGCGGATATACGTTTTTAACAATCTGGCACATCGCTAGTAGCCATTATTTGTTTCAATTTTGGGATTGCACAGGCTTGTTCAGATATTGATGGATAAGAATCGACAGAGGCAGCTATGTTCGTGGGTGCTGCTGGTCCTGGAAAATTTGATGGTTGTCCGATGTCACCTTTAGATGATCGTGGCACTCCATTTTCATCATGGTTATCATTGCTTTCACTGCTACTGTCCTGATCATTATTTTCTCTTTTGAGCAGTAGTCCTTAAAAAAAATGACACAAAATTCACTTCTAGTTTATTTAGGTATGGAAATCATGGAATAAAAATAGAGTTAAGGTAGGTTATCAGAAAGATTCATGAGAATGTAACTTACCTTAAAAATTTCCTGATATCCATTTGATCAGACATAAAAAACTGGCACACAAATTGGAAATATATACTGAAACAACCACTTCACACCTAAATGCTAATTCCAGCACATGAACAACAGAAAAATGATATAATCAATAAAAATAATAACCATTCAACTATCCAGCAAAATTCTTTAATAATTTAAAAACGTTTTCAAACACATTAAGCGTTCATCATCAGTTATTTCTCCATTCGAAATGTGAAATTCGAAAAATATTTTGTTAGAAAAATATATTGCTGGATAGTTGAATGGTTATTATTTTTATTGAATTTATTCTCCAGTAAGCAAGTATACTATTATGAAAAATGATATATAATGGTACCTGATATAGGGGAGGTGTAAGTTTTTAACAACAACACCTACGGCCTAACACTAGAATTAGATCAGGAAAGTCATACAGAAGTTAGATACTTGGATGTCAAGATTAGTATGGCGAATAAAAATACAACCACGTCTATTTACCGCAAACCCACATACATTCCCCTCTTCATACCTGCTAACTCAGCACACCCTTGGCCTTTTAAGGTAGCGGCATTCCGGGCCCTAGTCGCTAGGGCTTTCTTTCTCCCATTGCTTGGACACTTCCAATAGACACAATGAACTGAAATGCATCAAGTCTACAGCATCTGCACACGGGTACCACATCCTTAATAAACAAGCTTGCTGCCAACCAGCTATCTATGATAACTACCACTGACATGAGGCTTAATGATGCAGAGCGCAAGCGAGTGGTTATAGCTTACGAACTGTCACTCTAACAAATTTATAATAGAATTGCTAAGGATTTAAACTTGCACTTAACTTATAGGAGAAAACAGAACATTTTTCGAATCTTATCTAATGCAAAAGACAAGTCCGAGGACAAGAAAGCACCAGGAGTGTACCGCATTCCATTGCAAGACAATCGTTTCAATAGGCGTATAACATACATCAGGTCTGCGTACAGATCTCTAGAAGCTAGAATACGAGACCACAAGTATGATGTGTCCAAGGGGAAGTATAATACTGCACTAGCCCAGTATTCTACCGAACCCGGAGTTTCTCCTTGTTGGGATGAAGCTACACTTTTACTCAGGGCATTTGACCAACACAACTTACGTTTGTTGAAATTTATATAGTGGGCATGAAAGGAGGTTGCATTAACTCCAACTATATTCCAGTTCCACAATCGTGGAAGAAGTATTTACAAAGCCACAAAGCATAACTATGATTTTTTAGTATGAAGTTAGCTTTAGGTTATGTAAAGGAAACAATTTTTTCCTATCGCACATCGTTTATACATTAAAACATTGGGCTAATTTTTAACATAGAGTATGTTATTACCACCATATATATTATGTAATATATTAACACCATATAGTATATTATTATTGTATTTATTTATAACTTTATTTATAAAATATTTTAATTATATGTTGTAATACGTAACGATCTTTGTATTCAACATCATTTAAATGTTAAAAATTAGAACACNTTTTTATGTTATTAAAGAATTATGCTGGATACTTGAATGGTTTTTATTTTTATTGAATTTATTCTCCAGTAAGCAAATATACTATTATGAAAAATGATATATAATGGTACCTGATATAGGGGAGGTGTAAGTTTTTAACAACAACACCTACGGCCTAACACTAGAATTAGATCAGGAAAGTCATACAGAAGTTAGATACTTGGATGTCAAGATTAGTATGGCGAATAAAAATACAACCACGTCTATTTACCGCAAACCCACATACATTCCCCTCTTCATACCTGCTAACTCAGCACACCCTTGGCCTTTTAAGGTAGCGGCATTCCGGGCCCTAGTCGCTAGGGCTTTCTTTCTCCCATTGCTTGGACACTTCCAATAGACACAATGAACTGAAATGCATCAAGTCTACAGCATCTGCACACGGGTACCACATCCTTAATAAACAAGCTTGCTGCCAACCAGCTATCTATGATAACTACCACTGACATGAGGCTTAATGATGCAGAGCGCAAGCGAGTGGTTATAGCTTACGAACTGTCACTCTAACAAATTTATAATAGAATTGCTAAGGATTTAAACTTGCACTTAACTTATAGGAGAAAACAGAACATTTTTCGAATCTTATCTAATGCAAAAGACAAGTCCGAGGACAAGAAAGCACCAGGAGTGTACCGCATTCCATTGCAAGACAATCGTTTCAATAGGCGTATAACATACATCAGGTCTGCGTACAGATCTCTAGAAGCTAGAATACGAGACCACAAGTATGATGTGTCCAAGGGGAAGTATAATACTGCACTAGCCCAGTATTCTACCGAACCCGGAGTTTCTCCTTGTTGGGATGAAGCTACACTTTTACTCAGGGCATTTGACCAACACAACTTACGTTTGTTGAAATTTATATAGTGGGCATGAAAGGAGGTTGCATTAACTCCAACTATATTCCAGTTCCACAATCGTGGAAGAAGTATTTACAAAGCCACAAAGCATAACTATGATTTTTTAGTATGAAGTTAGCTTTAGGTTATGTAAAGGAAACAATTTTTTCCTATCGCACATCGTTTATACATTAAAACATTGGGCTAATTTTTAACATAGAGTATGTTATTACCACCATATATATTATGTAATATATTAACACCATATAGTATATTATTATTGTATTTATTTCTAACTTTATTTATAAAATATTTTAATTATATGTTGTAATACGTAACGATCTTTGTATTCAACATCATTTAAATGTTAAAAATTAGAACACAGCTATGTTCAAAAACTGTTAATAAGATAGAACTGTTTTTCTATTCTCTGCAATTTTTCCTGACGAGGGCCTCTGAAAGACAGCCAAAAACATTTGAACATTAAAATTTTTTTGTTGTTCATGTGCTGGAATTAGCATTTAGGTGTGAAGTGGTTGTTTTATCCATTTTATGCTGACAGTAAATTCATGTCACAACTACAGCAGGTTTGCAAGGTTTGTACTTATTATCTATCAAAACACAATATGATTAATATTAATTACTACCACTGTTGGCTCCGAAAGGAAAATACGAATTGGAATTATAATTCATTTACAGTACTACTAACTACTACACTACTAAACTTCTCATTCTTGTTGTGTGACTGTTTACTTATTAAGAAGTTACTACTCAATGCTATCTGTAGGGATTTAAGATGTAACTCTTGTATAATTAGCAATGCACTTGCATTGTCAGTTTTGCCCTTATGACTTAAAATCAAAGCTTCTTCAGACTTACATTAAGTAGAATTCTTCTACTATTAATTTGTGTGATTAAGAGATAAATTGTAATTATCTAGACCAGCGTTTCTCAAAGTGGGCGATAACGCCCCCTTGTGGGCGCTGGAGGCTTTCAGGGGGGCAGTAGAAGGCTCAAAGAGAATTGGGGGGCGTTAAGGAAATATAGAGGGGCGACGGCAGACAAATTTTATATATAAAAATTCGACTGAATATATATAAAATGTTGACATTTTATATATTTTTTATTTTTTATTGAAGGTCACAACTTGAATATTTCTAACACATTGACTTTTATTTTAGCTCAGCGTTTCTCAAAGTAAGCAATAACGCCCCCTTCTGGCGCGATGAATAGATCTATGATAGAGGCAGGGTATTGAACGGTGACCAAAGGCAAAATTGGGGCTGATAAGAGGAAACATTGCGTTTAATGGTTTCCAGATGATGAGAACAATGTACAGTAAGGGCACAAAGTGTGAGATTCATAGAAAAGTTTTCCTAAGAATATTTCCAATCCTTTTCTCACACAAGAGAAAATGGGTTAGGGGGTGTTGGGTATAACTTTATGGAACAAAGGGGGCGGTGGATCGAAAAAGTTTGAGAATCATTGATCTAGACCATGGGTCGCCAAACTTTTTTGATTGTTGACTCCCTACAAGTTTTCGAAATGTCACATCGACCCCCACCAAAAAGTTTGTAACAAGCAAAACAAAGTGCTTACTATTTTAATACATTTCTTATAATTTTGCATTTTTTTCATTTATTGTATATATGTTAATAATAATTTTTATAACTGACAATCAGTGAGACGGATAAGCTTGATCCTTAGCTCTCCCTTATCCTTAACTTAGGCTTGATAATTGACCCTCAATAATGTTATATCGACCACTTTGGCGACCCCTTGATAACCGACCCCTCAATAATGTTATATCGACCACTTTGGCGTCTAGACCATAGATGGCAAACCTGTTTGAGCCTGCATGCCATATAATATGCATTTTAGCTTTAAGGATTTTAATGCATGCCAAAATTTTAGATTTTGAATAATGATATTTAAAGAAATTAAACAAATATGCTTTAATTAGAATAAATGTAAAAAGGATGGTTGAAAAACATAGATGATAAATTGAAAATGTATGTTAAGTTACATGCCAAATTATTTCTCCTTAAATGTCACTTTGGGCACACATGCCGTTGTTTGCTACTGTGAGATCCGAAAGGCCCTGGGTCTAAGTTAATAATTTTATTAATATGTTTAAAATATTGACAAAATATTACTTCATTTGGTGTGAAAAAACTAGTGTTTTAGAGTGGGAAAAATAGATGACAGATGTCACTTCCTTTCCACAGAAGAGAACATCCGCTGTTTTTCCCATATCTGGTTAAAAATCTCACTCAGATGGGAAATGGTTACCCCTCATTCATTCCCCTTTCGTCCGTTCTCACGAAAGAGTTACTGGACGATGATTGGACGAAATTTTGAAATAAAAGGGAAGATTGGTCAGAATTCGAGGAGTTCTCCGACCGATCTGAACACGGGCAGACTCCACACAATTCTTCTCTGGATGACCAACGCCCTTTAAAGGAGTTCTTCGACAGATCCGAAGCATACAAACTCCACGCAGTTTTCCTCCTGATGGCCAACGCCCATAACGGAATCCGATAGACTAAGTCCCGAGTCTACAATTAGAAGAAGTGATATTTTATATTTTGTGCACGAATTGATCTCCCTTACGAAAGTAATGTGAACTCTATCTGCAAGGTGTCCTTTACCTACAGAAACAAGACGACGACATCTAAACAGGTCGTATGTTTAGAATAATTTTGCGAGCTCTCTCTCTCGAACGCGCATTAGCATAGATTCAGTCCTAGTCTATAGCTTGTCGTATAATCGTTGTATTTGGTTATTTGTATTTGTTTGTTTGAGATTTATTAAATTTACTCTTGTTTTATTTTATAAGAATGTCTCCTCAATTTATTTCGAATCAGATCGCCTACGCGTGTTTGTCCGCGCATCGATAAATTGATAAACTGGTGTTGGGAACCTGACGAACGTCTGAACTACGCGGTTCAGATTATCCTTGTTTACGCTCTCCTATGTAAACTTTTTACGATCGGATCTTACGATTCGAAACTCGGGGAACTATTCTCACGGAATAGGCCAATTAAGTGGTACTAACGAATTAGTGTACCCCTGGCTAATCTCACACTACCCCTGGTCTAGACTCTGTAATGATTTATGAATTCAAGTCTAGTCTAGTAAATTTTTAGCATAATGTTTAGTGAATTGATACTGATTTCTATAAAAATACCTGTATATTTTTGAAGTTCATAAATATAAATAAATTTCGAGGTTCTACTGTATTATATTATTTGTGAAAATGTTACATTAATTATAAGTATATTGTAGAATTATAAGAATTTAAAGTATATTGAAATTTTATAGATGGAAGATCAAGTGGAATCAGATTCAAAATGTCAAGTATCAATTTCTAAAGAGAAGATTCATAAACTTGATGACGAGCATGACTTACCGTGTAAAAAGGCCAAATTTGAAGAGAGTAAGAATGAAAATTTGTCACATTCTGAAATGGAAAATATTGAATGTAATGATGATCATTCTGTAGCTGAAAATCGGACTATTAACAGTCCTTTTCAAACTGAGAAAAACTGTGGAATAACTGAATATTTATCAAATGAGAATGGATTTTATGGAATTTTGAAACACAGGTAAATTATTTTTATTAATATTCTTAGTAAATCCAATGAACCACAAAAACAAATGCTTATGTAGATCTGCTTAAATTTTAACAAATATGCAAATGTTTTTAGCTAATTGTGGTCCACCAGTGCCCAAGTGGTCTTTGTTCCCTGAACACTGGGAGTTTGGTCATGGGTTCGCGTCTTGCTTGGATGGGTTGACCATGTGGAATTTTCTGGGTTTTCTCCACATCTGTAATGCCTAAATAGGGGCCAGAATTTCTCCACATCTGTAATGCCTAAATAGTGGTTCTTAACCTTTTAGTGATGTGGGATCATTTATCAAAATTTTTGTTTTGCCATGGACCACAAGCTGTTTGGCAGTAATATAGGTTCTTATAAGATTGTTCTATAAATTGAACGTGTATAAAATTGGAACGCTAGAAAACGTTTGTCAGGATATTTTAACATATACGCACAGAGCACCGGTCACAGGTTCCGTAGTGTGACATCATGTATAAAATTATTCGGAACCAAGAGTATTATATTATTTGTGAAAATGTTACATTAATTATATTACTTTAGTGCAATTTTTGTGACTGCATACTGTTTACCAACTGCTGAATTCTTGGTTCAGTGCTACTCAAAACCAAACGCATGTCGACACTGGCATCCAACCAATTTCGATGTTTATTTTTAATTATCAAAAGCACTGAGAATCCTTGCTCGCATAAATATGGGGTTGAAAATAAAGTTAGGTACCATAAAGCTATTTCTCAAATTTTAGGGAAAGCAATAGCTTTTTGGCTCGAAAAATCTTCAAGATTAATTCCTGTCTCGAATGTATCCTTGCAGTTACTGTCATGTTGCATTTCAATTAACTCTTCTTGTATTTCATCCAGCACCTCAGAAATGTTGACTATGAAAGGATTGCAGATCAGTTTCTGAATACCTTTGTCCTTGCAGTTCAAAAAATAGCGATTGAATTCATTTTTCAATTTTTGCAAATGGAATGTAATGTTCTTTTGTATTTGTCCTTTAATCTCAGCAGACTGTCCGTCAATAATTGGGTTCAATGAATCAAATGCAGAAAAATTCTGTCTTTTGACTTTGTTGATCCATAGGTCAATTTTAGCAATAAATGCACTGATTTTATCTTCAAATGCAAATATCAGGTCAGTCCATAAGTTCCTGCATATTTTATGACCTTGAGAAAAATCTTGTTTTGCTGTTAAAAATGCCAGTCTAATGTGATACTTTTTACACTGAAGTGTTAAATTGGATCTCATTCATATAATACTGTTCAGAATTGGGAACATTTCAGTTGTTTATTTTCATTAAAATGGAAGTAACAGATGAATATAAGAGACATGTTTTATACTTTTTATTTTTAAGTGATGAGAATGCTACAAATGCAGCCAAAAAATTAAATACTGTTCATAATCAAACTGTAATTAGTGTAAGGACTGCGCAGAAGTGGTTTGAAAGATTTAGAAATAATGATTTTAGTGTGGAGGATAAGGCTCGTACTGGAAGACCTGTTGACTTTGATGATGATGCTCTCTCTGCACTAGTTGAAGCAGAACCATCTTTAACAGTTGATGAAATTGCGGAACGTTTAAATTCATCCCATGGAACTGTTCATAGACATCTACAACAAATCGGAAAAGTTTCAAAGCTAGGAAAATGGATACCACATGAACTGTCAATAGCTAACTGACAACAACGTCAACTGCTCAACTCAAAAGCTTCAACTGGGAAATTTTACCTCATCCACCATATTTGCCAGATATTGCTCCCAGTGATTATCATCTTTTTCGGAGTTTGCAGAATTTTTTAAAAGGAAAAACTTTTGAGGATGAGAACAATGTAAAAAAGGCTATTTCTGAATATTTTGATTCAAAACCGAAATCATTTTACAAAGACAGGATTAAAAAGCTACCATCAAGATGGCAAGAAATTGTACAAAATAATGGTGAATACATTATAGATTGAAATAAAATTTAGTTAAAAAGTTTTGTTGCTTTTTTTTGTAGATAAAAATGCGTACAAACTTATGGACTGACCTGATATATTGCTAGTGCCTTCCAATTTCATATTTCCTGACTCTTGCAGTTGAAGGTTCAATTTATTTAGTTGTGCAAAAAAATCTACTAAATAAGCAAAATATATTTGAAATTTGAACTGACAGAACTCAGACAGCAACTCTTTGTTTTCCTTATTAGTTAATAATAATTTTACTTCTTCTCAGTTCTTACAATCTCAACAGCATATTTCCTTTGGAAAGCCATCGCACTTTCGTGTGAAAAGAGCAGCGTTTCGTGTTCAGAGTTCATATCACTGCATAATTTTTTGAAGAGATGAGTATTAAGTGCACTCCTTTTAATAAAGTTGACTACTTTTATAGCTGTTTTCATCGTAATAGCAAAGTATTCCGGGAGCGTTTTAGCAGCCAATGCTTGACGATGAGCATTTTAGCTGACAATACTTGAATTGTCATCATTTATTTAATAATTTTAGGATGACTTCACAGACCACTTCAGGTGCTTTCAGGGACCACCAGTGGTCCACGGACTACCACCGGTTAAGAACCACTGCCTTAAAAAGACCTCCTGGAAGGCATCCCCCTAGGCAGATCGCCCAAGTGTTGTATTGCCATAACTAAACAAACAAACAAATATTTTAGCTAATTGATCATATTTAAGTATTAACCTTTTGATGAATGGGTTTACTTGGTAGTTCTCATTCCTTCCAGAGTGAGGAACTTTTAAAAAATGTAACATTTACAAAAAAAAAGTTTACAAAAAAATTGGAATGTATCATCACCAGGGGAAAGTTTTCAAAATCTGCATTTTCCAGTGCTTGTTCTACTAGATAAAAGCAGAAACACCCCATAGGATGGATGGAAAGCAAGACGTCTATATATCACCAGTTCCTTTTTAGAAAATTTTTTATAATTTTAATTGGATATATTGTGTTTTTTAAAGGACTTTTTTTAAATTCTGGCGGCATGTATCCTATAAAGGAAGGTCTGTCGCCATGAATGTGTGGTCTAGAACACAAGAAATAAATGGTGGTCCCTTTTGGGCAAACTTTGTCTTTAATTTTATTAATGATAATCCCCATTGGATGAAAAAATTTACAAAAAAAAAGTTAATATCTTGTCTTCTAATTCATATGCTTTTATAAACTAGGCAATATTTTCTTCCAATTTGATTATCTTGAATAACTCCAACAATTCAGGAGGAGATAGCAAATGTGAACAACTACTAGGTGCCATGTTTATCTTTATACTAGAAAATTCTATATTAAATCTTGCAAAACTTCAAAAACCATGTGGAAAAAATTTTATAGACCTGTGAATAGATGTTGCTAACAGTAACATTTCATCGTAGAAAAGGGCTGGCAGAATTACAATTTAATAAAAAGTAAATACATCACAATTGGATAAGAGTCCAATTTTGCTTGCCATGTCCAATCACCAGGAACAACTATTTCCATTGCAAGAAAGGTTGTCTTTGCAATGGAAATAGTTGTTCCTGGTGATTGGACATGGCAAGCAAAATTGGACTCGTATCCATTTGTGATGTATTTTACTTTTTATTAAATTGTAACATTTCATGTTTTCCAATAAATATGAATTTATTACGAGATAAACTTTAAGAAGAACGCATATATATATATATATGCTTACTCTGTAGAGTCCACTTCATGTATCAGGTATATTTACAGTAATACTAATCAAAGGGCTAAAAAAAAAGTGATTCAACTGAATAGTGTTGCTGTAGATACTGAGATATAACATATATAAATGTATTGAAGATAACAAAATTAAATATTAAATATGCCTCATGTTATAAAAACATTATAATTATAAAATTAAATAAAATATAAAATTATATGATAAACTCTTTGCAAAGTGAGTCATTTCCCTGTATTTTATTAGTGATGTTGCATACTTCATCATACACTTTGTTTATTGTAATCATTAATTAATATTGTTATCAGCTAGTTATCAGTACACATGAAGCAATTACAATAAGTGGACCCTACTGTATTTTATAGTTTGTTTTTTATGAATCAGTAGCTTTTGTTCTGGTAATAGTTTCTCTTGCATAGAATAGCTCTAATAGCTTGGAAAGTTAAATTACATTCAATAAATCATAATTGCAAAAAGTACTAAAGAATTCTAAAAATAAATATAATGCACCAATTTTATGATGATTTGCAGTTATTTTGGAATGTAACACAAACATTTTCAGTCTGAAATAACTGCAAAGCATAAGGTTATGCTTTGCATTGTATTTATAATTAATGTTTTGTTTAGTGGGTTGTCTTTATTGAATTTTAAAAAGAAATGTTCATAAATTTCACTAATTTGTATAAAAGTTAAAGAAATGTATAATATAAATTGTACAAATTTCAAACATTTACTATGTCATAGTTATATATCATGAATGCATTTTTTAAAATTTAGGACAGTGTTGGCAAACCTTTTCCCAATTGTTGGTCAAAATTGAATTTCAAATTTAGTAATTCCCAACTGCAGGTCTACTATTTAATTTGGGCAATTTAAAAAAATAATTAAAAATGCTTGCAAGTTTTGTTTTATTTAACTTTTTAATCTATATCAGAAAAGTAACAATAAATTTATATAAGTGAAAAGAAAATAATAATAGTGATTAAAATAGAAACAAATATTTCATTGTTTATTTCATAATGATATTTCTATTTGAGATTCAGAATTATTGGTTTTTATAACTTTTCATTATAGTTTTAGGACCCTGCTTTCATGCTATATATGCAAAGTTTTGAAATTTATCAAATACTTTTTTTAATAATTTATAAAAACCTAATAATTGCTAAAAATTTAATGCAGTTGCTTTCTGTGACAAATGTGACAATTTCAGTCACCCCATGGATTATTGGTTTACCATTGCTGACTTAGGATATCATGAATCAGGATGGTAATAATGGCTAGGAAGCACTTTTCTGTTATTACTATGATTTTACAATTTTCTCTAGTTAGTGACTATTGATTAAATCTAAATTTCTTTAAAATTCTGATATACATACATAATCTAATTTCTTGGTGAAAAGTTTCCAGTTAGAGCATAGCTTGTAAGTTCTTAAATTCACATTAATAAAGTATGTTTTCTTATCAATAACTAATAATTTATTAATATTCATTAAAGAAATTTATAAAAACAAAGTATTTAAAAATATATTTTTAATGTGAAAGCATATTTTAATTTACAAATAAAAATGATCTAATAATAAATAAATTTCAAACAAAATAAGGAATTTATTTGATAGTTTCTGAATTGCCAGTTAATTGATTTTCAGATATTCTGATTTTGTCGTTAATGAAATCCAGAAAGATGGAACGGTCATTCACTTAACAGATTTTTCAGCACCCAAAGAAGATGCCAATATCATCAGCGTAAGCAAGTTCGGGTAACTGTAATTAATACTTTATTAGAATTACAAGTAATGGAATAAAATAGTAAAGCTTACATACTTGGATTATACATTTTCTTCGAATTTTAAAGTATTTTCTATTGGTTTATAGCTAACAGAGCAAGTTGGTTTAGAATTAAGTGAAAAAATTCAACATCTTTGTAGTCAAGATGCTGACAAAAGTGATCCAGTTCTGATAGACGTAAGGAATTTTAAACAAAATTAGGAATAAATGTTTCTAGAAAATGCTTGAAAGGTGTAAAAATCAAATTTTTACAGGTTACAGAGATGGATAAAGATAAAAGGAGAAAAATACATACTGCAATAAGACAGAATTGTACTGGATTAGAAAGTAATACTGAAGATCAAAATGATAAGAAATTTATTGCTGTAACTAAAGCTAACGCAAAACAGAAAGGTACACTAAATATTGATTTCTCTGATTTAAAATATTTTTACATCAATAATATCCATAATTTACTCTACAAAATGTATTGTAGAATAAATTATGGATGTATTGTATTTAATTTGTATTTCAACTTTAATCTGCCACATTAAGAATTAAATTATTATATAAGAGCAGGGCTACTGAGAGGTGATATCAGTTATAAATTGTGTGTACAAGAGAGTCCAGAATACTTACAAAAAAAATAATAAATTATTACAAACTTCAGAAATTTCATTAAAGTTTTATAATTTTGAGAAGTTTCAAGTAAACTTGATTTTTATTACATAAATATCAGAAATTAATTCCAAGATGTTTAGTAGAGAAATGGACTTAGGAGTTGCAAATTTATCAGCTTTTTTATAACCAGTAAAAGAGTAAATTTTTAAAACATTAATAATTTTAAATTTTGACTCCAAATGCAAAAGTTAGAATACTAATAATTGTTAGTTGATGGCTCATCAGTGAGTCAGCAACTAAACAATCACTATTGCTCTATGATCAATTGAATTTTCTTTTTTTCTATTTTGGAAAGCAAAAGTTTAATTTCCTGAAAAAACAGCATGCTGTAGTTTTTTAGTTATCATGATTAAAAAGTGGCCAGTGCAAGCACTCACTTTCAATTAAATGTATTCCATTTTCTCAACTAAAATGTTACTTTACTAAAATTGCTGCTGCATTTTAGGTGTTACAGGTTAAGAAAAAAAAAAATTGCCAGTCTGTCCAGCATAATGCTGTAATATGATAATTTAAAAATTGAGAAGAAGTATAAAGTAGTAAATTTAAAAGATAAATGATTTAAACTACTTTTACAGTTTAAATAAAAATATTTTATACTTTTTCCTTTAATATATAAAATTTAGTGTACACGAAAGCATATACAAATATTTGACTTCATAAAATCATTATACAGTTTAACCCGCTTATCCATGGGACCAGCAATTTTCTGACATTATAACTGAGTGTTGATATCTGCGGGGTCATAATTTCAGTCCCATTAAAGTATCAAGTATGTTTAAGAATCTATTATAAAATCCATCTAATTTAATATCGTATGTATAAAAGTGCAAACTAAATGTTTAAATCAACTTTATTATGTCTAAATTTACAATGATATAATTAAAAATTTCAAAAGTTACCTTTTATAAGAAATTTTTATTTGTCTCAAGTTTCGATAATGGCAGCACTTCCGGTTTTGAGAATAATGCCAAATCAAAAGGCAACTAAAGGTTAAATTAATGTATACCAATTAAAAAGAAACAATAAAAATATTCACTTAAAAAAAGTTAATGCTTTCCTTTTTAATTAAGCTAGCCATTTTACCTGATTTGATGCTAAACTACAACACAAGTATAAGAGCTATGCAGACTAACTCACTGTCACATCGTTTAAAGGGGTGGCAAATCTCACCCCACTGATGTCAGGTGGTGAGAGTACCACCCACAGTCATTCTAGGAAGTGGACTCTGATCCTAGGGACTGAACACTTAGTACTTTCTTTGTTAAATAAAATTTGTAACCTAATTTTGTAAATTTGAGAGTGCTTCAAATATGATGTTAAAACAGGGTTTTATGTTGTTACAAGTGGGTTTTTTAACATTAGTATAGTAAAATTGTGGAACCGATAAAAATTTGACGTTATATTAGGGTTGTCGTTACATCCGATGACGTTATAATTGGGTTAAACTGTATATGTGTCTATGTATTTTCTTTTACCAAATTACCGGTATATTTACCAATGCATTTTTTTTACCTGATTACCAGTAAACCATTTACTAGTAATGCAATCTCTAAATGGACTGGATAAAAATGCTCAATCTGTTAACAGCTTTGTATGTGAGATGAAATATTATCTTTAAGACTTATCAGTTATTTAAATTACTTAATTAATAAACTTCAATTATGAAATTATTTTGATCATTTGATTTTGCCATTTTTATATAGGTTACATTTTATTTAACAATGATTTTATAAATTTAATGATACATTAATTTTTGATAAGCTGTGCTGTATTTGTTTCTAGAATTGAAATTAAATGGCATTCAATTACTTTTAATTTTAAAATAATTTTCTTGATAACTTTTATACATTGAATTTTTCTTGCATCCAACCCAACTAAAATACTCTATGCATTTCTATTCTGATATTTTGATATAGTTCTTTATCATACATCAGTTTTTAGTTAGTTACATAATTGTTTGACAGTGATGATCATTATTATGAAAGAGCTGTGCACTGTTTTACAATTTTATAAAATTTTTATTGGAACAGTAGTTAAGAAAATTTGTGCTTTGATGATACAGATTCAGTCTTCAGAAGTTTGTTTTTGTGAAAATATTTTTGGAGATATAAAATTATAAATATACACAATGTGGCAGCCCATCAGTCTGTGTTGACCACAGCCAGTACAGCCAGTCACCCTGATTAATCAGCTTTTGTGACGTCATTGTGTGTGACCCTTTCTTCCTCCTCACCATGAGGCAAGCAAGGTGTACACATTTTTGCTCCTGTGTAGTTTTTATCATGTCGAACAATGGGCTCCATTATTGTTGATATCTTGTATGATTTCCTTGGATATCTGTAGCAGTCTCAGATATCGGTCTCTTTTTCTAAAAAAATTACTTCCAGTACACAAATATGGAGACTGAACATATAAAATTATTTTTACTCAGTAACTGTCAGTATTATGTACCAGCAATCAATAATTTTTATGCTATCTGCCTGTTTGGCATACTGGTGTGTTGTAGCTGAAAAATATCCTTGTGTACATATAAAATCTGATACAGCAAGCATGTTAATTAGTGCTAGTATATTAATAATAAAATATAGTTAGTTAAAACAAAATAATGCAAATTTCAAAATCAGTTATTGGTTTCATTAGCATATTTTGTTTGTATTCTGTTTTTCATATTATTTTGAATAATTGAAATTGAGTTTTATTTATTATATATGTATATTACTCATAAGCACATATTGATGTTAAACATTGTGACTGCAATTTAGAAATACAGTACTTGTATAAGAATTAGCCATCCAGTCATCTATAACAAAATAGTTAAGGTGCCAGCTTATTGCCTTCTGGGGACTTGGAATGAATCTGGTTGTCAAAAACCCCAGAAACTTTTCCAGGGAATGGTTTGTCTTGGATATATCAGGTTCTGCTTCATTGTTGGCCTTGCCAAGCTCATGACAAGCTTGATAGAAGGGCCTTCTTAATACATACAAGGAGGAAAACATAAAACATATTAATTTAATGCAATGAACTGTTTTCTTTATCTCACTTTCTGATATAATTGGAATATTTCATCTTGTAAAAGCGTCATGCGATTACAGTTCCTACATACTAAGATTAAATGCCCATAGGTTCCAGTCTCCATTTGCCAGTGCTATTTGCTCTTAACATCATTGTGCAATTTATTGAACTTTATCTCTACATTACAGATCATTCTATTGGTGATTACTGTTTCATTAATTAAAGAACAATTTTATTTCTACCCTTGTTTATTGCTTGCTTATTTCTTAACTATTTTCTTACCATAAGATAAAGCAACATCTGATAACTTACATTTTTGATTCTCTTGTTTTATATTGATGAATAACCTAATCAACAAATATTTATTGTATTTCGTTTACAACCATTGGTTGTTGAGTAAATAGATGTTTTGTTGCAATTTAATCTTATTTTGAGAATATAGATAGGGTGACTTGTGTTGGAATGTGATTCAAATTCAACCATAAGAAAGAGAAATCTCCTCCGAATGTATGAGTGTTTTTAGGAGTGAAATATGCTTGTAAATTGGGGGTTACACTGTATTTACAAATTAAAAAAGCTCTTTTTAGATCATGAAATTCTAAAATCCATAGATATAACAAAAACTGTTTATTTCATTTAATTATTAATTTACAGAATTTTACTACCACCGAATTAATGTTTCATTAAGATAAATGAATGATGTGATCAGTGATTTTTCTCAGAATTTTTTAGTTATAAAAATTATTAATTATCAAAAATTTCTTTAGGAAGAAGATCACGTCCAGTCTGGCCTCATTCAAGAGGGAACTATACTCATTTTGTGTTATATAAAGAAAATACTGATACTATGGAAGCTATATATGCAATTGCTAATTTATTAAGGTAAAATTATTATTTATAATTCTTGAGATTAACAACATTCAATTTAAAAAATTGACATAGTGATTGATAAAAATTGATAATATGACATTTTAAAAATAATTATATTTTCCTAAAAATATTTCAATTAATACATAAATTAATGAAATGGCCAAGAACAATAAATATGTATAAAATATTTACAATTTGGAAGAAGCAATAAAAGTCTTTACATTCTCTCCTTTCAAACTTCAGGAACAAAATAGTCTTTATGAACAGAGTCAACCTTTTATCTGAGGCTTCTTGTCTGCCTTGTTATGTAAAAATGTTTAAAAAACATTATTGTTTCTTCCAAATTGTGTATATTTTATAATTATATTTTCTTCTTTATTTTAATATATCAAATTATATCAATCTATATCTATTGTATGTAGATTGATAAAGTGTGTATAAATCGCTATTTTTAATGCTTAGTGTTCTGAGATATCACATATTTTTGTTATGGTATATCATAATATTTAGTTATTTTAAATGTAATAGATGCATTTTATTGATAAGCATCTAATTGAACAGCAGTTAACAAGAATTATTGCATTTTTATTAAATATACTTTGTTGTTAATTAAAAAAACTAGAATAAATTTTTACTATTAAATGTAATGTTATAGAAAACTGATTTTTACTACATTAATTTAATAAATAATATGCACAGATATTATATGATTACATATTGTTGTCATTTAATTAAATTGCTGATTAATACTACTACTAATAAGTAATTGAATATTAATATTTTTTTTTATTAGACAACATTATTTGTTTGAATAGAACAACTACAATGATATTTACCTTTAATAAAATTTTCAGAAGTACTTAGCTGAAAGTACTCAGTATTATTATGACTTAACATCATCGATAGGTTCTTGGAAACTGTGACTTTAATTAAGCAAAACAATGTATAATGAAACCAACATTACCATAGGCTAAATCAGGGTTGTCCAACCTTTTTACCTAATGGGCCAAATTAAAAATTTATATATATTCAGCAGGCCACAAGGGTATTTTATTTAAATATATGCTTTTAAAAAGTTTAAAATGTAAATACAAATTTTAATTAATTTAATAACAAATATATATAATTACATAAAATACTGTATTATTGACAGTAAAAAAATTATACTCAAAATAAAAATAAATTCAATATAATTTTTGACATTGCCTTTCTTTTATAATATTGTCAATATCTGCTTTTATGGTACTGGTATTAATTCTAAGAATGTTAGTTAAATGGGAATCACTCGGCAGTTTACCTATTTCTTTCATGAACAAAAAGAAATGTTCACAACAGTATGTTATGCATGTGTTGTAGTATAGTTTTCTAACATCAATTACATCATTACAACATCAAAGTGTATCCAGTGACACGAGAATAATTTTTACAACATTCCTTACCAAAATAAATGAAAATGTATTTGAAAACTTTAGGGTGCAGTGGGCCGCAGATTGGACATCCCTGGGCTAAATGATATAAATATGTTAAGTTTCTATAGCATGTTTCTGGTCATAAAAACATCAACAAACTTCTAAAGATCGAAAACTCTTCTAATATAAAAGATTGAAATTATGATTTATACTTACAGTTAAGAAAGATTGATGAAAACAAGATAACTGTTTTACTCAAATTTGAGAATCAGTTAGTGATGGCAGTCTTAATGGGTTGTATGGGAGTGAGGCTAAATTCTCATCACTGGAAATGCATAAAAGATGAGTAATAAAGAAGAAATACTTTCAAAAGGAAAATTGTAAAGAGCATCTACTCTCATGCCGTTTAAAGAACTGATGATTTCAATGGACTAAAGACTGTGCTGTATAATTTTAAAATACAAACAGATTTAACTTCAACATTAAATGATGTCTTACATTTTGTTAATCTATACTAATATAATAAAGAGGTAATGTTTGTATGTATGTTAGTTTGGATGTAGCGGGTAATCTCCAAAACTACTCATCCGATTTCAAAAATTTTTTCACCAATATTTAGAATGGAACTTCAGGATGGACATAGGCTGTATATTATTCCGTTAAACATGGGGGATGGACAGTTCTTTACCGTAAGCCTTCCCCGTAAGGCTTACCTAAAGAACTCTGCTTCTATTTATACTATTTTAGATGCGGTTTTTTTGCATTTTTGATTGTATTTTAATAGGGTACGTCAACAGAATGTACACTAAGAAGGGATTTTTCGATATTCCCCCTGGGGGGAGAGGGACAGGATTAAGGCTTACTGTGAAGAACTTGGCTTCTATTATACTATTTTAGATGCGGGTTTTTGCGCTTTTGATTGCGTTTTAATAGGGTACGTCAAGAGAATGTACACTGAGAAAAAATTTTTTGAAAAATTTTCCCCCACGGGGGAAGTATTATACATTTATAATAGATACATTTTGAGCCACAACAAGGCGTGGCGGGGTCTGCTAGTGTGGATTCATGTTATTTGAAAATGATATCAATCAGATATCATAAAAAGAAAATTCAGTTAATATTTTTATTGAATTGTGTTTGCAACTTCCAGCATTTATTTTTCACCTCATATAAGCAATTTTATCCTAAACAAAGAATATTCAATGGCAATAATTGTAAATGATTACAAATGTACTTGTATCTTTTCTCAACAACACTGAGGACTTGATGCTAAAACAGTACAAAAAAGAGTAATTCAGACATAAGTAAAATGTGTATACATATGCATTTTCTTTGTAAGTTTACATTTAATGTATATAATATAGCATTAAAAAAAAATGCACATTTTTTATTCTGTTTTACTTTCTATGAGAATAATATATATATATTAATATAATTATATATTTTGTTTAAGAATTATAACATGTAATATGATAAAAGTATTAAATGTTGATACAATTTACAGAATGCCAACATCTGCCTTTACTTTTGCTGGAACAAAAGATAAGAGAGGTAAAACAACTCAGATGGTGTCTGTTTATCGTGTTGCAGCAAATAAATTATTAGACTTAAATGGAAAATTAAAAAATATAAAAGTAGGAAACATTCAGTAAGTATAATCCAATGATAAATTATTTGAATGATAGAAATATTTCATCTTAAGCATTTAAAAAAAAAAGCTGTTTATTCATTTTGTCTTATATAAAATGTATTTTCATCCTTTTACTATAAAAAAATTTTGTCAATATATTATATATATTAATTTGAAATTAGTACATTAGTTCTTGTTCTACTTTTTAACACATGGAACCTTAATGAACCAAAGGAACCTACTGAGTAACCATATCAGTCTGTTTCCCATTTGCATTAAAATTGAGCCACAACTTTCTGGTATCCTAGCTTAAAATGTTTGCTTATTAGTAGATTAAAAAATAAATAAAAATAGAATGAAATATCAGCCATAATTCATTTTTAAAAAGCTTCTGGAGAAATACTGCAATGGATTGTCTGCACACTATTACTAGCTGAGTGAACCCCTTCCTGCCCACGCTTGAGTATGACTCGAGCAAGGTTCATAGCGTTACAAAAAACCGGGCGTTTGAGCCCCCGAAAAATTTTTTTAATTATTTTTGGAATGTTTTTTAGGTCCCCAAAATTTTTTTCCCGCGCAAAAAAATTTTATAGCGATTTTAATCAACATTTAATGACGTGCACTTCACGCTTTATTGCTTTTTGATGTTTTTTTAATGGGGGTTTTTTATCAAATTTAATTAATTGTTCTAAAGTTGTAGTGCACCGATTTTTCCTTTGGTAAAGTTATTTAAAGCTAGTTTCTAATGTCAAAAACGACCTCCGGTAGTTTTTTAATTTTTTTAATTAATAGATTTTATTATATATATGTTTAATTAATTAGGGGGGGTCAGAAATCGCAATAAAAATTATAATTTTTTAAAAATATTTAAAAATATAGGTTTAGTTCCTATTCACCCTACTTTAAACACTTGTCCTCCCCAGACGTCTATGAGAATGCCCCGGGAAATCCAACTCCAGCTGTGTTCAAGGTCATCCAGATGTGTAAACAGTGACTCATGGGTGTTAAATTTCACAGAAAGGCAAGACAAAATAAATGAAGCTTTTTAACCAAAATTAATGCATTTCTTTCGTTTTTTTTCAGTTTTAAGTATTTTTTATGTTTAATTAAAAATTTTTTTTAAAAAGTGGACAAGAAGGGGTTAATTTTGAATGGTGTACAATAAAATTTCAATTCTGGCTTCTTCAGTTATGTAGCCATATTGCTTACGTGGCCACTCCTGAAATTACTCTGTAAAACTTGCTGTAAATAATTTAATGTTTAGTTTTAAATAATTTTAAAATATAAATACAAATAAGCAAAAACATCACAATTATTGCAGTTTAATGCATTTTTTATCAAGTGCTAATTTGCAAATTTACTGGGGTTCCGAATGAACAAAACTAAAAAATTCTGTTGCACATATCATCATAAATCTTTGTCGGATGTTAGAAAACAATAAATAGAATGAAAGTAAACCATTTCAAAATCAGAATTGTGGTAGATTTTCAAATGGTGCAATTATAAAAAAAAAAAGTAGATTTTTTTTGCCTATGTTTACACTAAATTCAAATTACAGGTATACCTCGAGTTATGTCATTCTCGATTATATGTCGTTTGTCAAAAAAATATATGGAAAAATAAAAATCAAGTTTAAGTCATTTTATTTGACTTTATGTCCGTCTGCCACAAATATTGAAGTCATAATATCACTATAAAAGCGCACAAAATCATATTAAAATATATACATTTACAGTAAATGTTAATATAATCATCATAAATCCTAGAGAACAAAACATGAAAACATCTGTTTTTCTGTGTTGTCATCTTATTTAGCGATCTTTAAGTGCTCAATATTGGTGTTTTCCATGGTAACTCCAATATCTACCATTTGGCATCGTCGTCAGTGCCACTCGATATTAGTAAATTTAATATAAATTAGTTTATTTTCTACTGTTGCAAGATAATTTTAATAACTGTATTTGTTATTTAACCTTACAAAATAATCTTATTTTATAATGTCTTAGAGCAAACCACATTCACAAATAAAGAGTCCGTGATGTACTGTAAACATCGCCAAATTGCAAACATGTACATTTACAAGTATGTAATGTACATACATGAATTCGTAAATTTAGATTACTTTTTTCTGTACTATATTAAAAACTAAAATTTATTTGTTTGTAAGCTTAAAATAGATTTGTATTAACCATATATTATTAAAGATTCATTTATAAATAAAATACGAAACTGGAAATGGTTATTTGTGGTTTAGCCTAGTGACAAATAAATTCGGAGACAAGTGAATTCGACTTATATCGTTTTTCGACTTAAGTCGCCTCTCCTGGAACCAATTACCGACATAAGGCAAGGTATACCTGTATTTACGCTGAAATTTATATCAATAAATCCTTACTTATATACTTACCTACGTATCAATTTAAATGGGAAAAAGTGATATTTAACATACTAATAATAATTACTGTAAACTTATTCATTTTCAAACGTGAATAATTTTTTAAAACATCAACAATGGTCACTCTACAGCAACATGACACCAAAAAAGTCACTCCCATGGGTGTTAATATAATACTTTATTTAGTATATTTTATTTTGAACATTTATTAACTTGTATATTGGAAGCAAAATAAAATGTCAAAATCTAGCAAAAATAACTTTTATTATTGATTTTTTTCAATTTAAGNGGAAAAATAAAAATCAAGTTTAAGTCATTTTATTTGACTTTATGTCCGTCTGCCACAAATATTGAAGTCATAATATCACTATAAAAGCGCACAAAATCATATTAAAATATATACATTTACAGTAAATGTTAATATAATCATCATAAATCCTAGAGAACAAAACATGAAAACATCTGTTTTTCTGTGTTGTCATCTTATTTAGCGATCTTTAAGTGCTCAATATTGGTGTTTTCCATGGTAACTCCAATATCTACCATTTGGCATCGTCGTCAGTGCCACTCGATATTAGTAAATTTAATATAAATTAGTTTATTTTCTACTGTTGCAAGATAATTTTAATAACTGTATTTGTTATTTAACCTTACAAAATAATCTTATTTTATAATGTCTTAGAGCAAACCACATTCACAAATAAAGAGTCCGTGATGTACTGTAAACATCGCCAAATTGCAAACATGTACATTTACAAGTATGTAATGTACATACATGAATTCGTAAATTTAGATTACTTTTTTCTGTACTATATTAAAAACTAAAATTTATTTGTTTGTAAGCTTAAAATAGATTTGTATTAACCATATATTATTAAAGATTCATTTATAAATAAAATACGAAACTGGAAATGGTTATTTGTGGTTTAGCCTAGTGACAAATAAATTCGGAGACAAGTGAATTCGACTTATATCGTTTTTCGACTTAAGTCGCCTCTCCTGGAACCAATTACCGACATAAGGCAAGGTATACCTGTATTTACGCTGAAATTTATATCAATAAATCCTTACTTATATACTTACCTACGTATCAATTTAAATGGGAAAAAGTGATATTTAACATACTAATAATAATTACTGTAAACTTATTCATTTTCAAACGTGAATAATTTTTTAAAACATCAACAATGGTCACTCTACAGCAACATGACACCAAAAAAGTCACTCCCATGGGTGTTAATATAATACTTTATTTAGTATATTTTATTTTGAACATTTATTAACTTGTATATTGGAAGCAAAATAAAATGTCAAAATCTAGCAAAAATAACTTTTATTATTGATTTTTTTCAATTTAAGTTGACAAAATTTTGTTAATTTTTTAAATTATAATTTAAATGAGCCTGAATTTAAATATAAGTTATTTTTAATATAAAATGTTTTATTCTTTCAGATATAAGAACATGCCTATAAAATTGGGTGATTTGTTTGGTAATCATTTCTCAATTATTTTGAGGTATACTAACTTTTTATTTGTGAATATATTTGTGAAAATGATGTGTTTTATTTATAAATTTAAAAACAAAATGGAATTTATAAATATATTTAGTGATAAAACTGAATAAATGAAAAAATATTAATAATTAATATTTTTTCATTTATTACTTTGTCTGAGAAAAGAACATTTAAAATATTTTTTGAAAGCTTTTTCTAATATTAGTATATTAATGATTTAGGGTTGTCTTACATGATACACTACCACTAATATTTTGTTGGTTCAAAGAATGTTTTGCCAATTCAATTTTTTAAGTGATATGGTGAAATGACTTGCAAGTCATTCTGAGCTTGTACAAAATTGTGTTCATTTCTCCTGAAAATGGTAAGAATGCAATCTAATGTGATTCTGATCTCATCAATTTGTTCAGTGATACAACAATGTGTGAAAAAGCCAACAGATTAGATTTTTGGTGATGTGATTGTGACCTCTCAAACTAAAGTAGCTAATAAGTTACAACTTTGTTCAACTGAGGCAAATCTTTGCATTTCAGTAAACAAAATGTTAATAGTAGTGGTCAGCAAATGTCAGCTAAATTTTAATTTAATATGTACGGTACATATATACATTATATGTTAAATACAGTAGAGCGTCAATTATCCGAAAGAATTCCACTTGGTAAATTTAAAGTTTTGCTAGTGCTGTAGCACTGCAATCTTTGGCTATATCTTGGGCTACTCAAATATTTTACGTTTTTGATACTAAATTAACTTCTGAAGTATTATTTTTTATTGTTTTTATATTTTTCAATATATTTATTTTGTTTGTACAAAATAAAAAAAAATAATTTTTAACGATACAATAGTCTTCGTTAGGCTTAACATCGACAAAAATTCAATGCAATGCGACACGCAACGGAGAAAAATTTCAACATCGAATACGTTAAACTATTTTTTCGTACATAATCGGTTATCAAAATATCAGTTATCCGAACAACCCCAGTCCCCAATTGATTCGGATAATCGATGTTCTACTGTACATATATATGCCAGGTTTTATTTATTTGTATAAAATTCAGCTGTAATTCTGTACAGAAATACTTGTTTTATGAGAGACAAAATGAAGTAATATAAAGTTAAACTGCATTTTCAAAAGTCTTTATTTTATTTTCTCAGTGAAGACCATTCTACTATAAGAGATATAAATAAAAAAGATAAACAATTGCTTTAGTGTAAAAAAAAGGAACAAATTCAAAACTTTTTATGGTGATAAAAGTATTTTAGTTGTGAACATCTAGCCAATGGAACAGGCTATCCTCAGTAATAAGGGAATGAAGAGAGAATGTTATAGAATTAGCAGTTAGAATAAGACAAAGGTAACAGACAAGGCAAAGCATTTCATGGTAATGGCAGTTAATATGATTGTTTAACTGCACAACACACCAGAATCAATATAAAAAGTGTGACTCACATTAACCAATACACTGGTTAATTGGTTAATGTGAGCCGACTTTTTATAATATGATTGATTTATGAGGAACTTCCAGATCAAGAAGAGTCCATGACCCTGCTAATGACATAAATTGAGATGGATATATCTAAATAAACAATTTTAAGAATAAAAATTAAAATATTAACAATAATATGTAACATTTAAAAAATAATGTCAATGCAATATTTTAGCTATGAAGTAGACCAAAAATCATTGTTTTGTGTTGGAATGGGAAATAGAACTTACCTTAGAAAGTTGTATCACAAATATCTGACGAATGTCTGTCTCTTGCATCAGATGTTTGTCCTGTCAGATGATTGAAATCCTAAACTCTGATTGGAGCAAAGTTAGAATAAAAAGGGGAAAAAGTCACAAGTTCAGGGCAGTCTACAGAAGAAATTTGCCATGTATTAGGGGCAATCAAATGATAACGAGACAGACTATATAACAAGTGTGGGAAGTTGGTAATACAGGTAGGTGTGTGTATAAAAGTGCCCTCAATTGGGAATCAGGAAGGAACATCGTGAACGTTCACTGCTGTGCCATTTGTCTGTTAGACATGCTCAAAGTGAGGTCAGTGAGTCGTGTGTGCGTCCAACATCACTATGGAGGCCCACTGCTCGTTGACTTTCTGGAACACAGCGCCACAATTAACGCACAGTGGTACATGGAAACTTTGCAAAAATTGAAGCGTGACATCAAATTCAAATGCCCAGGAATGTTGACAGACAGCATCATTCTGTTGCAGGATAATGCCTGCCCACATGTTACCAAGGTTGTTTCGACTATGCTGCAGAAGTTTTGCTGGGAAGCCCTTACACATCCTCCATACAGCCCCGATTTCTCCCTATATGATTTCCATATTTTTGGAGCCCCGAAGAAAGACATTCGTGGCCGTCAGTTTGCTTTACACAAAAAGGTGCACACCTGGGTACAATCATGGTTCCGTAGGCAACCACAAACATTTTTCTATGAAGGAATTGACTGTCTTGTCTTACAGTGGGATAAGTGTATTAACAGTTATGGTGGTTACTTTTTAAATAATAAACAGTTTACTTACTTTTTTCCCCATCTGTCTCGTTTTCATTTGACTGACCCTAATAATTGACGGTAGTCCATGACAAAAGGAACTTGCCACAGAAACCACAGTCCATGACCAGAAGGAATCTGCCATAATAATTATAAGAAGATAGTCTGCTTCAACTCTCGCATTCTCCAAGTTTGATTGACAGAGGTATTATCATTACTTTTAACCAATTGCAAACTTTCTCTCTCATGCTTAGAGGTGTATCCTAGATAGACTTGATTTACAATAGGTTATATTGTGTATCTTGACTTATGTATCTCTTTTGCTTTATTTTATCTAATTAAACCTTTTGTTATTTGTTAATCTGTTTGATCTCCTTGTTGAGTACAGACATTCACCTCGCTATGATTGGAATCTACCAGCAAATCCTCCCCGCTCGATAAAATATAGCCCTCCATTTAATATCTAGATTGTAATATTGTGAGTTAGGGTGCAAAAATTCTACCCTAGCTGGTGTCAGTCCTGATGTCAGAAGAATTCGGTGATCTCAATGACATTCTGTAAAAAGCCATCCAGTGACTCAGTGAGCAGGACTAACAGTCCTGACAACTAGAGGGTATTACACCCTCACCCGTATTCTCACAGTTAAATAATTTTGGATTAAACAAAATAATAATAATTCATTTGTATTTACGGAATATCTGTCAGTGTTAAAATTTATTACTATTATAATTACAGAGAAATTACTGGTTCAGAGGAAGAAATTAAAAAAGCAATGGAATCTTTCACAGATGTAGGATTTATAAATTATTATGGGTTGCAGAGATTTGGAACCACATCTGTTCCAACTTATGAAATTGGGAGGTAAGGTTATTTGATTTTAAAAGTGAAACAAAACTTTGAATTTTATGCTTACCATATGTTTTTTCTTATAAGACACACTAATTTATTGGATATATCACATTTTTCATATCAGTTTTTTGAGGCAAAAATATTATTTACAATAGAAGACTTATTTAACTTACAGGATTCATCCTAATTTTCAGATAAACTTTAGGAATAAAAAAGTTTGTCTTATAAGGTGAAAAATGCAATAATTAAATGCCTGCAATTATATTAAACATGATATATTACTATAATATGAAACTTTATTAACTTTAGGGCTCTCCTAGAAGGAAAATGGGATCAAGCTATTGATTTAATTTTAAAACCTAGATCCAAAGGTATTTACAATTTTTTTAAATTATATTTTTCAGGAATATTTGATTAGCTGAGTTGTTGTTATTTTTTTTAATTTTAACTTATTTTCGAATTGGTATTTATTGTTTAATAAGTTTGATTTGAACATTAGGTTAAGTTTTAATGGATTTGTTACAAAACATGATGTTTCTCTAGTATTTTGCTTGTTCTAGTTGGTTACATTGATTTATTTAAAAAAAAAGCATTACAAAAATTCTTACATTTTGCAACTTTTAACAGTTTTTATAGTGTAAAACATAGTTTGAATATTGTTTTGTATATAAAAATTTATAGTGTTATTTACTGTACTAGGTTATTTTACATATTTTTTTTATTATGAAGTTAATTTGTAGTCTTGATTTTGAGTTTATAATTAAATGTAATTAAGTACTGTTTCTTTTTCTGGATATAAATGATGTNATATAAAAATAATAAAAAATTATACTTCAGATGTTAATTTATTATCAAAAATGTAAAATATTTGAGTAGCCGAAGACATAGCCAAAGATTGAAGCTCCACAGCACTGGCGAAAATTTAAATTTGCCGACTGGAAATCTTTCGGATGATTGACTTTCGGAAAATCGACGCTCTACTGTATTTACTTAATGTTGAGAATCTTGGCTTCAAAGTCTGTTTGGCATGACAATGCATTTAGACTTTGAGGGCATGCAGGTCTTATTTTTGTGCTTACTTTTGCATTCATAAAATTATCATGTACTGTACACTATTTTTAAAACCTGTGGTGAGAAGTAAACTATAAAATGGCATTTAAAAAATGTTTTATCTCTCATTGTATCTTAAAGTAAAATATTATGAATTATTACACCTCATATAGTCTATATATAACACAGTTGTATTACAATGATATATAATTATGTATCTAACGTAAAGTACAGGTGGCTACAAATTTTTTAGAGGTCCCACAAGATTATAATGAAGTTGAAAAATATGTAGTCTATTATTAAGCGGCAAATACTTATATATATGTGTGTGTTAAGCATGTATCTGATGGAGGTCTCACAAGATTGTAATGGACCTGAAAAATTTGTAGCTGCTTGTTTATGTATAGATATGTAATTACTTATCATTGTATTCAAATTACATTACTTTTATTAATTTTTTTCTTTTGAATGAAACTTGGGTTTTGATAAGAAAGTACTATAATTTACTACTTAACTTATAATTTATTATTTAGTAGGTCTTAAATGCTTATGAAGTGAGTATCACAAGAAACTAACATAGTAATGGATAGACTAAAGTATAAATAAAATGCAAACAAAGAAGAAATTAACATGAAAATAATAATACAATTATTTGTTAAGTGATGCAGAAATCACAAATTGCTCTCGTATCATCCAAGTTTATGCAAAGGAAATGAGAAGCAAAGGATTATTCCTTTGCTTCTCATTTGGAAGTGAAGGATTGGATGGAGATCTGGGTAGCTAATTTGCAATGCATCTGCACAGTAAGCAACAGTTTTAGGTTTGAGTTCTGCTCCAGGCCAATTCTTTACCTCTAGAAATTTCTAAATTATTAAATGTATTAAATTTATTACAATTAAATTAATATTTAAGATGATGCCTAATGACTACCTTTAGTGCTAAATTACTTTGTGTTTAATAATTATTAGTAGGGAATGTAGCCTAATTTAATCTGGTAATCATTTAGCTTTGATAACAATAAACATGATTTAATGTTACAAATTATATATATACTAAATATTTTTTTTTTTGTTATTTCTAATGACATTTATGACAAATATTTTATGATAAAAAGAGATCAGGAAAAATTTTTCCAATGACAAATATGATTGTAATCACATTATATTAGAGATTTACTTATTTAAAGAAAGGAAAACATAGTGTGCAGTAGGGTGTATGCATATCTAATGTAGAAGTTTTAATTATAAAAATATATTTATTCTTTAAAAAGTTAAACAACTATATTCTAATAATTTCATAAATATAATTGAGTTTGAAAACACTTGTTTAAGCCTTATGTACAATATATATCTATTAATAGCCAACATTATTTCTAAATGGAAATAATTATTTTTATCAGACAGTTCTGAACCAGAAACTTACAGGAAAATATGGGCTGAAACTAAAGATCCAAAGGCAGCATTAGAACATCTAAAAAAGAAAGGAAGTGCTGAGGGTCATTTGTTACGAGGATTAATCAGTCACAGTTTATCAGATATGGTCAATTCACTTAATGCGGTAAGTAAATAGTTTAACAATAATAAACGACAATGATAATATTATTAGACTAGCTGCAAGGACCCGCTTCGCTGGGTTTTTATTTGTTTGTATATTTGTATGTAATATAGTTTTTTTATATATATAAAAGACTTTTTCTAAGTAATCTAGAATCTAGCTGCAAGGACCTGCTTTGCTGGGTTTTTAAAAAGTAACAATAGTGAAGATTAAGATAATTACATTATAGCTAATCTTACCCGTTTTCACAGAATGCAAGAATTAGGTTTCCCGTTTCCAGACTAATTAGAGACCTGATTCCGATTCTATTTCTGAACGTCTCCTGTTCACGTCCAGTCAAACGAACTATTTTCAACTTTTCTGGAACGTTTACAATCGTTCTATAATCGAACCAATATTCGAACAAATTCGAACATAAAATTCGAAATAGAAAACCACTTTCAACCACTTTCAGCCCCATATCTCCCGCACCCTTATAGCTATCGAGACGCAACCACCGTAGTGCACGAATGGAGACTTGGGGCTACTACCACATACAAACACCATTCATGTGCGATATGTAGTTTTGGTGAAAAAGTGAAATATAGGGACACACACGTCCATTTATATATATATATATAGAATATTAGGCTGGATGACCAAGTGATTAATGTTGTAAGCTCATAGATTCTGAAGTGTTCTGGTTTCCCTTGTGCTGTCTTATGCATCTCCATCTACCCCTAAAACAACCATTACTACTACCAAAAAGTGATCCTTATACAGTTAAATTACGAGTACGATGCCCTAAGTTTGCTTTTCTGTGAAAATGAACTAAAGCAGATCATCTTCTATCTATCTATATAAATAAAAATGTAATGTTTATTTGTTCCTACAGATTCCTTTGAAATTTTGACACAATGCTGCATTCGAATACACACGTGTTTTTATATAATATACATGTCGAAATTCCCCCCACTGAAGGGAGATGGTTAGGATTAAGGCTTACCATAAAGAACTCTGCTTCTATTTATACTATTTTAGATGCGGTTTTTTGCGCTTTTGATTGCATTTTAATAGGATACGTCAACAGAATGTACACTAAGAAGGGATTTTTCGATATTCCCCCTCACAGGAGAAGTGTTATACATTTATAATAGATACATTTTGAGCCACAACAACACGTGGCAGGGTCTGCTAGTATTCAATACTGGCAGAAAAAAGGGTGTGTCAAAAATTGACCAATCAGCATCTGATACGTTCTGGCATAAAGTTTCATAGCCTTGTATCTGCTTTAGCACCATTTTTTAAAAAAAAATTTTAAGATGGCACTTATTTGACCCAAATGATTGCATTACAGTATCAAAATAGGTGATATTGAATATTGAGTCAATGAATATTGGAAATTTGCATAATTATGCCAGAATTTATCAATTATATATTACTGTTGTACACTCTTCATCACTTACTACATTGACCAGTATAACCAGTTATAGCTTTTAACTTATTCCATGTTGAAATTTTAATCCGTTGCATGTGGCTGCCATGTTGAATTTTTGTCGATGTTAAGNACTGCCTCTCCCTTTGTAAATGTTTCACTTGTATGAAAAACAAATAAACAAAGTATTGATTTTTCTACCTAATAATACAGTTAAACTTTTACTGGAAATTATGAAAATATACGTGTGAAGAGTTTGAAATTGTCTTTAACATTATTTAGGAATATTCAGGCTAATAAAATATTTTATATTTTGCACAAACAAAATAAATATATTGAAAAATATAAAAACAAAAAAATTATATTTTGAAAGTTCATTTTAATATAAAAATTATGATGCACAGCGACATCTAGTATCAAAAATGTACCGATACTGTAACAAGATATATCAGGTTTAACCTGGCGGGTCAAATGTCACGACCTCGATATATGTCAGGAATAACACAGGTGAGGTTAAGCTAATCATTCTGGAAGTGAAGATTGGACAGAGGTCGGGACCTATTCTGAGCTCTTCCGATAACTCAACGAGCATGATACACAGTTTAGTTAACATTGTATTTTTGTCACGTGACAGCAACCTGCCATTTTCTAAGCAAAGCACATGGTTTTATTTTATAATATAGTTTTGTTTTAAAATGTCAAAGAAAGGACAATGAAGCCAGCGAACTACAAGTTGCCAGTTTGAGATGTTCATCAATTTTATGGAAGACAATCCTAAAATAATGTCAGGGAAGTTAGATGCTCCCTTTACTGTAAAAGATCGTCAGAAATTGTGGCAAGAAATAGCCAACCATCTGAATTCCGAAGAAGTCTGCTCACAAAATGATCCAGAAAGATGGCAAAAAGTAACTGATAGCTTTGAATATAAATATATAAATATTATTTTAATTTATACATATGTGAATGAAACCTATTTCAGAAATAATGTTCATGCTATAGCTACTTACTTTAAATTTTAACAAGAAAGCAATTACATTATTCATACAATATTCATAAATAGTTAAGGTTATTATTTTCAAGCAATACAACAACAAAGTTTATTAACTCTCTCTCCAACTGCTCGTGAAGCAAAATTGTTCTTACATCAAAAGACGGCATGTTGTTTTCACTTTCGTTACATTCCTAATGGCAGGTCGAGAGTGATCGATAACAAAAGCTTAGTTATCACATGTGGCTATCGGAACCAAAAACAAAATGTACGACACGGAGTAGCATTTTCACAGTTGATTAAATGCGAATCACGTGGTTCTGACAGAAACTGGTTTTTATCATATTTGTTAGCTTAACGATACTACTCAGAATAGGTCCCCAGGGTACATAACTAATAAGCAGACTGTTAACTGTGTACACATCTGCATGGTAAGCAGAGGATATGGGTTCAAGTACCACTCTTTTCTTCCAGAATATTCTAAGCTTATTTCTTATTATTGAATTTAACATTGAATGGCAGTTTAACTGCCTTTCTCTAGTCCAAATTACATAGTGTGTTATTAATTAATTAGCCATATTATAGTCTGATAAGAATCTGGCTGTGTCATTTGATTAACTCAGAAAAATGAAGTATTAAGTTTGTTAATTTAATTACCTATATGTATTTTAATATTATTATCTAATGATTTCTCTGTTCATATGTCCAATGATGATTTACATCCTTGCTCTCATAAAGTATTTACTTAATGTTGAGAAACTTGCCTTCAAAGTCTATTTGGCATAATAATGCATTTAGACTTTGACTGAGGACATGCAAAATCTTATAAATTTATTATAAAAATATAACTATATAACTAGTAATTATTCTTATTAATAAATTAAAATGGTTATTTAACAGATACCAAGAAATACTAGACTTATGTATGTACACAGCTTTCAAAGTTATATTTGGAATCAGATTGCTTCGTTTCGAATTAAAGAATATGGACTGAAGCCAATAATTGGAGATCTTGTACTTCCTCACAATATAGAAGGTAAAGTTATTAATATTTTTTCTATTAACATTAATTAGAATGAATTTGTATTAAATTCCCAATGATGTTAAATCATCCTTGCTCTCATAGCAGCCAGTTTTCTGGTTTGATGCAGAAAAATTGGGCCTAAAATCTGAGGGTTTACTCTTGAGTTCTGAAAGTGAATCCATCACTTATAACATTAATTGTATCAATCATTAAATTTTGTTTAAAAAATTAAAGAATTTTTAAGTACTTTGACAGTAAATGATGATACAGTTGAATTCACTTATTATAGTCATGGAAGTCATTTAATGTTATCAGAATTAACATATCCCAAAGTATATAAATTAAAATACATTTGTGAAACTTTGGTTATAAGCAATCTTCAGGCAAATAGGCATTATTAAGCTATCTTTTTATGTTATCAGCTCCAACATGTGGCTGATTACTTGCAGTTATAAGTTATTAATACATGATTGTGGAATGTTATCAGTTATCAATATACTGGTGTGATCTGAACAGTAGTGATTATTAGGGAAACAAGTTATGAAATTGTCAAATAATTATTGGTTTTTCTAATAATCAGTTATTATTATTATTTATCAGTTATAGTAGTAACTAATGCTTTAAACGTTAATTGTTTTCATTATTATTTACACAAGTAAATAATTTAAATTACTGACATTTCTTGCTTTCTTTCTTTCATCTCCTCCCTGGTTCATATGGAGATTTCAGCCTTAATATGCTTTTTCTCCGATGAGCGGCGCTGGCTATCTAGGTAAAGTGACCTGTCCTTGAGATGTACTTTTCTAGTGTTATCACATGTTTCTTTGGATCTGCCTGTGCCCAATAAATTGGTGATAGAGTTCTCACTACCATTAAGTCCAGAGCCAAACTCTTCTCTAGCTCCTTTCGTGCCTCCTCATAATTCAGGCACCTCAACCAAAAATGCTTGGGTGTTCCTGCTTCCCCTCAAAGAGAGCAATTCGGGGAGGGGATTAAACCTCGTGAATATAGAAATGTGTTTAGCAGTGCAGTTTCTATCCTAAGCCTTGCTAGTAGTGTCTCCACCCACCTAGATGATGTGTGATTGTACGGCCAGGGGTCTAAAGGCCTCAGATGATCTCGCCCCTTATTCCTATGGACCTGTGCCCAAGGGCCCATCAGCGAGTTCCTAATCCGTTTCCTCGTGAGCTTATGTATGTCCCTGGGCATCAGGGGGCCCTGCCAAGACCTTGTGACACTTGCCCCCTTCACTGCCCTATCAGCTTCTTCGTTTAGTACTATTCCAGAGTGATCTGGGGTCCACACCAACACGATTGAATTGGGAAAAGAGGTGACCCCATCCACAGTATCGATGATTAAAGCTGGCGAGTTGTGGCCCACATTAGCTATTGCCTGTAATACCAACCTACTATTCCTACACAGAACAGTCGGCCGGGAATTTTGGGCACTCAGGACGGTTTCCCTCATTATCCCTGTCGCTTCAGGAAGATTCCACAATACTCTTTTAGCCCCCAAGTCTCGCTTCCCTTCCCTTCTGGAAGGAAGATTCCTATCGTTGTCCGCGTGGGTGTCTTGGATGTGTCCGTCCCTATGAGCGACCATCCCTCCCAGTTACTAGTCACCTGCTCTTCAAAAAACGCCCTGTCTTCACCTGACAGCCCGGTTTTCTTGGCTCGACATGCCGTTAGATTTACCTGATGATCAATCTGTGTGATGGAAGGCGGGAGACTCCTCTGCCGATAGATGCTGGCTATGGATATGCCTAAGTTCCTTAGATGTGAAAACACCCTAGAAACATAGGGCTCCTGAAACCTTCTCCAATTGTAGTTCTCTATACTCATCCCAGTTGACAAAATACTGTAAAGGGAGCTGAAGTGACCCCTCGAGATGTGATTAGCTGCATGTGTGATTGTATGTAAGTACAACTGTGCTTTTAGTCTGATATATCTTGTCTCTGTGTACGATAGTAGCGGAGTCATAAGTGGGACTCCTAGGGCCGACCGGAGAGCCGCATGAACCTGCTTCTCAATCCTATGGCTGGTTGTTGGCAGTGCACCATCCAAGGGGGGTGCACCAAACTCCGCCATCGGAAGGATGACTGTGTTAACTAGCCAAAGTAAGTCTGTCTTGTGGGCCCCATTGCACCGGGATGCAAAATACCTGAAATATGATCCCGCCCTAGTAAGCTTGTTCCTAAGATGCTGTTCGTGGGCACTCCGCATGAATGTATGGTTAAAATGTAACCCCAAAATCTTCATTGAGGTTACCTGCGGAATGGTCCCTGATAGTAAACAAAGGACGACCGGTGGCCGATGACGCTTTGAAGAGAAGTCAATTGTCCCACTTTTTGTAGCCGAAAAAGCCATACTCCATTGGACCTCCCATTGTTCTAGGTGTTCAAGAGCTCTTTGGACTCTGTATTTAGTCATATCTGCCTGTATGCTAGTGGCTATAAGATATAGGTCATCGGCATACAGGATACCTGTAACATCTGTTGGGAGCGCCGTCCAGAGATCCGCCATATACAGGGTGAAGAGAAGTGGGGCTAACACACTCCCCTGCGGAACTCCTTGAAGAAACAGGTGAAGGGGCAGACTTCACTCCCCTCCACTTTATCTGGAACTCCTGATGTAAGAGAAAATAGGACAGCCACCGAAGTGTCTTCCTTGAAATCCTGTAGTGCTAGAGCACTACAGTATTTCAAGAAAGACCAGTGGGGTCTGCTCGCCAAGAAAGCTTGGTGAGCAGACCCCGCTGGTAGACCGAGTCATACGCTCCCTCAAGGTCTAGGGAGACCAAATACACCCATTTTTTCTGTGCCCTCGCTACCACTATTGTGTGATGTATCCTGATAATAGCATCTTCTACCCCCCCCAGTAAGGGATAAACCTGAAGTGGTTCTTGTTAAATAGGTTAGAGGCCATCAAGGCCCTTTGCAATCGCATTAATACCAGGCGTTCGAACACTTTTGCCACATTCGATGTCGTTGAAATCGGATGATAGGCTGCACAGGAAGTCACTGATCGCCCTGGCTTGAGTATCGGTATTATATGCGCCATCTTCCATTCTGCTGGACTCTGTCCCGTGTTCAATATACGATTTATAACTCCGAGCCGAGCTGCCTGGCCCTCCTTGGGAAGTACCCTTAGGGTTTGTGCTGACACCCCATCCAGTCCAGGAGTATTGTTCCAGAGACCCTGGAGGGCCCGCTTTAGTTCCGATACTTGAAAGTCTGCTTCCTCTACTCTCACCCTTGTAGAGTTTGAGGCCTGAAGGGGACCAAAAGTACCAATCTGATGGGGCCTCCAAAAAAGGAAGACAACGCTTCCACCTGCTGGTCTGGTGAGGTAATTGTGACCTCTGTCTGAAGGACATAGTGTGAAGTCGATGGGCTGATAGGGACCCGCAGCTTCCTAAAAATTTGGTATATAGTCGACCTTGTTGGGGGGATGCACACACCTGCCCCCACCACTCCCTACGTGCCTGTTGAGTCTTCCACCAAAGTAGCGTCCCTTGCTGTTTATACAGGTAGCCCTCGGTTATGCCGCAGTTCCATTCCTACAAAAGCCGGCGCAAATCGAATCGGCGTAAAACGAACCCGTATTTACAGTGAGGTATAGGGTTAGGTTCTACATAAGTGAAAAATAAGCTAATAATTTTGTTTATTAATACAATATAATACAAAATACATATAAATTTTTAATTTTTAAAATGTATTTTATTATAAAATAAAGTAAAATGTTTTTATTTAAAAATTTTAGTTTTAAATAAAAACATTAAAGATGGATACTTATCCATCTTTAATTGTTTACATTTTTGATTTCTTTCATTAAGAATTTTGGAATATGGTCGAATATGATGCTCCTTTTTACATTTGCACTTCTCTCCCAACGTAGTCTAACACACAAACTTCATCCGTCAAACTTTCCTTAGTTGAAAGGATATGGTTCACCCGACGTAGAGCTACGGATGAGCGAAGACACTGATTGGTCGACCACCGGCCGCCGTAGCGCATATATAAGGTCAGTTTGAGCGGGAAAATTCAAGGTGGCTAAGGAGAGATAAATATCATCTGACCAATGAGAAGTAGATTTGTCCCACTAACGATAATTTGTGATCGTCGGAAGTGCTATTGCGTCATAAGGTGTTTTCCTGAATGAACTGATACAGGATACATTCATTGGCGCTATGGATTCGGACACCATTTATTGGACTATTAAGTTTAATATCTTGACTCGTGGGTACCTAAATGTTTAGTATTTTAATATTAATTTAATGCAAATGTATACATACCCAATAATATTAAACAGAAAAAATAAATATATTTAATAAAAATCTTTGTTTTAACAAATGTACAATGTCGCGGCTCGGTAAATACATCAACACTGAAATGAAAATCAGTCTAGAGTAGGGAAAATCAGGGAATTACACTGCAAAACGGCAAATTGCGCAGCGGCATTATTGCAAATCGGCGTAAATTGAACCGGCGTAAATCGAGGGCTACCTGTACTTATTCCACCAGGAGATGGACCCCAACTGGCGTGCCTTCTGAAAAGCCCTTCTCTTCCTTGCTCTGATGAGACTGCACTCAGACATCCACCAAGGGAGTTGCCCCTGGGGAGGGAGGATTTGGAACCTAGTGTTGCCATCTGCCACCTCCTAGAGACTGCTTATGAAAGAGGAGTACTCCTGCAGTCGACTGTCCTCAGTTTCCCAGAAAACTGCTAGATGTTCCCTGAATCCACCCCAATCCGTCCTCCTGCTTATCCTTGGTTGCAGCATCACCCCTTGTAGGTTCGGATAAAACAGCTTCACTATTATAGGGGCATGATCACTGGTAAGTGTATCCAGGCTCAGTTGGCACGTCGCAGATCCCAAGAGATTAGGAGTACAGAGTGTCAAATCTATAGCCTTTAGCTCCCGAACTGTGGAAATAAGTAGGCTTTCCCGAGTTCCAACAACACAACCCTGTAGTCGACAGCCAGTCAAAAAGTAGTCTGCCTGCTGCATCT